CTGAGTCAATGTCCAAGAATTCGACTAATTAACTTACTTGCAAACTCATTTACAGTAAATTAATGTTATTGTGAACATAAGTAATAATTAAGTGATTATCCTTGGTTAATTATTTCTGGTTAATTCAAAACAAGTCACTGTTGATAGATATTATACCTATAGCGATGACTACTTTGTGAAGATATGCTGCTAATGACGTCACTGGTGATGCTCGTGGTGTCGACACTGGCACGTCACTGGTGAAGTCGTGAGGTTCACACTGATTCATCACTTAACTCTGTGTGAGAGCTGGGTGACACCTGGTGCTGGGTAAGGTGTATCTTTATACCTTGGTGTTGGGTACTGGGCGTACCTAGCCCGGGTTGTTCAATTAGCCGAACAACTGTCCTTATTCCGAGACCCCCGCGCCCCATTTTTGTTTAGTCCTAAAACCTTCTACAAGTAATTCGGTATATTTATGGCTCTCGAACAATTATTTTATTATGTGAAGAATGACAGTTGAACTGTTTTGACGATCAATGCAATGTGACGGTGCCCATCGTCTCTTAGACTGAAGAGATGGATTACGGGAAGGATGGGAGGCTGGCGCCTATTAGGATTAAGGACAGTTTCCTTCGGTATTATCGGCCGAATAGAAGAGCTTTTTGGCGAAAAGGACAATGACTCGCTTCATCAAGCGCAACAGGTGGTTTGTTATCCGAGAATGAACTGTGTGTTATGTGGATTACTCCACCGTCAAGTGGACCCCTGTTTGGATCCCAAGAAAAATATAAAGAGTAAATAATAAAATATAATTTAGAAATAATATTGATGGTCTTATGAAGTTGTCCATGACAGTAAAAGAATCATTAGGCGTATTGATCGTGACCTTCCCCTGGAATTTGGCGCCCACAAACATAACAATAAGTTTCTAGAAGGATGACACCGAAGATTTAAAATTACAAACTCCACCCATATCCCTAAGATGTTCTCATGCAGAGCCTTAACCAGATAATAACAGCGTAATGTAGAACAAGCGGGTCATACGAATCTGTAAGATGTAGGAACTATATCGTAGGGATACATAGAATAATAACCGAATGATAACAGTGGACAGAAAAAAAATCCGTTAAAGTATGACCGAACCTTACGTTTAACCGGGAAGGTCAGCTTTAAACTGCTACGAGTCCCCAGTACCAAACGCCTAGTGTACTCCAAGATACTATAATACGTATCGATAAGAACAAGGTGAAATAAGCTGGATGGTGGGGGTGGGGGGGCTAATCTTTACGTGATCCGTCGTCTCGAGTAAGTGGCCAGGTTGTTATGTTATGTTAGTGAAAGATATAAGACTAAGAGATGGGGTTTTATTCCTGACGTTTGTTACAAGAGCAATATCATTTTTATACAAAATTTAGGTTCGCGGTACTGTGCGGAGCTACGTCCCTCCAGTGGTTAGTTGGTGTCGCTGGTGATTCTTTTTTCCGCCAATCATGTGCCGCTATCTGAGCTGCGGTGTGCGATCAGGTCACCAGCCTGCTTTGGTGTTGTTAACAGGGTTGTAGTGTGATGTAGGCTGCTTCCAACACTTTTCTGGTTCTTTTATTCATGCCCTGGTGTAAGACCTGGGCGCTCTCCCACCTCGGCAGCTGTCCCACAGTGTCTACCGTGATTGACGAAGGCGCTGGTCATCCTGAGGTGCCTTGTGTACGCTTGGGGCTCTCGCAGTCTCATATGTAAGCCTCTGCCTGTTCTCTGTAGTCTGCTCTGCCGCAGGAGCCACGGGGTACACTGTCGGTGTTGGTCTGGTCTCTCCGCCCTGTCACCGATCTTGTTGCCTGGTGTGATGGTTGTCTTGAAGGTGGAATTCTGAAGGTAGTCTGTAATGAGAGTAACTTAGGTGGAGTTTGGTATTACCGTTGTATCTGTGCTTTGTGTGTTCATTCCTTTGAAAGTCTTGTAACGGGGCATCAGGAATAAACCTCCATCTCTTAGTCGTGTTTTCTTCATTCCATATTACTACCATCTGTCCACAATGAATAAATGTTATGTGATGTAATGTTAGATTAGCTTAAGTGTGTTGAATCTAAAGGTGAAATAAGGTGGATTGGGGGCTAATCATTACGTGATCCGTTGCCTCGAGCACGTGGTCAGTATCAGCTCCCCTGGGGTAATGCGAACCTCCTTCAGATTACCCCCCAGAACACTTCACCTCCGCTTCCTTGCGATTCATTTACGCAAAATATATTTCAAATTGAATTCACAGTGACCAGGATCCTCTCTGGTTTGCATTTAAATTACTTTCATTGCGTTTACGCCTTGTTTATTGACCTGCTTCTTTCTTGTGCGTAGCCTGAGCGGAGGAGTAAAGAGGAATGAAGATGTTTTTAGTTATCTGGAGGATAAGGAGTGACAGTTGGATGAAAGAAGGTGACACTATGTAATGTGTGTGTGTGTGTGTGTGTGTGTGTAATATTAAGATCCCTCCCAAAATAAGCTTTTAATACAGTCCAACTAATACCCTCAAACCCAACAGAGATAAGTTAAGTTCGTAACCTTCTCGCACTGTCTCAAACAGCGTCGAGGCGATCGGTTATTCTGACAGACTGGTCTACGAGGGTTGTCACAAGGAGTAGCTCTACACATTAGCTGCTACAGTGATCAAAATTTATAATAATAGCAGAACAATACTTTATTAGGAAACTGATTAATAATAATAATAATAATAATAATGATGATGATGATGATAAATTCCAACTTTTATTCCTGTAAGAAAAATCACCACTATTTATTGTCTTGGATAGGGACTGTCTGTATCTATCTGTCTGTGTCTATTTGTCTGTCTGTCTATCTGTATGTCTATCTATCTATGTGCGTATGTGTCTATCTGTCTGTCTGTCTGTCTGTCTGTGTGTTGATATAATAATTAACTAGGTTACTCAGTGTTCACCAGACACTGTACTGTACAATGATTAACAAGGAGTAAATGTTATACAGTCATGTGAAATAAAAACAAACACTCCTTATAAAATGGTCTGTGTTTGTGTCTGTGTTTGTTTGTGTCTGTGTTTGTTTGTGTCTGTGTTTGTTTGTGTCTGTGTTTGTTTGTGTCTGTGTTTGTTTGTGTCTGTGTTTGTTTGTGTCTGTGTTTGTTTGTGTCTGTGTTTGTTTGTGTCTGTCTTTGTTTGTGTCTGTCTTTGTTTGTGTCTGTGTTTGTTTGTGTCTGTGTTTGTTTGTGTCTGTGTTTGTTTGTGTCTGTGTTTGTTTGTGTCTGTGTTTGTTCACGTCTCCTCACTTTTCTCCACTACTATAAGAACCATGAATCTCTAAATCCATAAATTGGTTAGGATAGGTTAGGTTAGGATAGGTTAGGTTAGGATAGGTTAGGATAGGTTAGGTTAGGTTAGGATAGGTTAGGATAGGTTAGGTTAGGTTAGGTTAGGTTAGGATTTAGGTTAGGATGGGTTGGGTTAGGATGGGATGGGTTGGGTTAGGATTAGGTTAGGTTAGGATAGGTTAGGGTAGGTTAGGATAGGTTAGGTTAGGTTAGGATAGGTTAGGTTAGGTTAGGATAGGTTAATGTGTAACAATATTTCCATTACCTGACAGCCCCAGCTTATTTCATCTCAAAGTTAAACACCTTAACGCTAACCTAATGCTAATGTAGCCTAATCTAACGTTAACCTAACATAACCTAACCTAACCTAACATAACATAACCTAACCTAACCTACAGTAACCTAATCTAACCTATCCCCCCCTGGTAGCGCTAGGGTGTTTAATCATCAGGTGAAATAAGGTGGGGACTAATCTTCAGGTGATCCCAATATGTTAATAAAATGTCCATTGCTGTAAGATATTAAAGATTGGCAACTGTGTATGACTCGTAGGTATCGGAAGACGTGATTGGCTGAGAGCTGAGATACTACTTGTCAGGCGTGCGTTGATTGGCTAATATAACATCGAGAGCAGCCAATGGGTTATATGTCGAGGCACGCTACTGGCTGAAGGTTGTGGGAGACTATATGTAAGCCTAGTCTTGATTGGTTAATGCACATTGAGGTGTGGTAATCCTCGAGTTGATTGGTTAATTTAACATCAAGAGCAGCCGTTGGGTGACGTGTCGGGGCGTGCTATTGGTTGAAGACTGTTAGAGACTATAAGTAAGTCCTGTGTTGATTGGTTAATGCTCGTGAATGAGTTGTAAGCCCCGCGTTGATTGGATGAGAGCTATAATCCGTATTGAGTCCGTCTCCCCACTACGACACAGAGAGTTAAGAAGCTTTGGCTGATTAGATTAGATAATATCAGATTATCTTCATCAGAGAGAGAGAGAGAGAGAGAGAGAGAGAGAGTATATACAGTACATTTTATAATATAATTACATAATCAGTTATATATGTAACCAGAACAACGTAACGTAACGTAATCTAACCTAACCTGACATGACCTAACGTAACCTGACATGACATAACCTAACCTGACATGACCTAACGTAACCTGACATGACCTAACGTAACGTAACTTAACCGAACCTAACCTTGTGTAAATTACAAACATATGTATAAAAAGTCACTCTCTTGTGGTACATAATGGCGCACCACAGCTGTAATGGCTCTAATTGGCGCACAGAGCTCTTGGGCCACTAACACTCACTAACTGGCACTATCATGGTGTTTTGAGGCGTGCAACGACTTCCACACGCCTCTTAGATTTATAACTCTACTATGATGGTGCATTAAGGCACACTGCAGTTATGGCACAATAGGGCGCACGATAGCTTTTATAACACATTATGACGCACTTCAGCTCCTGCACCACAAAAACGGGGAACTACAGGCGATGAGCCACTAACACTCACTATTATGGCACATGGCGCACTGCAGCTACGCCATAGAAAGCACTAAATGGCACTATTGTAATACATTATGACGCACTGCAGCTCCTGCGTCATAAACACACTAAATGGTAATATTACGAAGCATTACGGCACAGTACAAATCCTGCGCCATTAACACTCACCCAAGAACTTGCTTTTACGCTCCTCTTGGGCGAATCCACAAGCGCAGGTGTACTTTTTCGGGGTGTCCGGCCGAACCTCCGCCATCCCGGGCTGGGTCATCGTCACAGCCTCATCCTGCAAGGAGAGAGACCATGTATAGAGACCCAGGGTTAGACCAATGTAGAGACCCAGGGTTAGAGACGAAGATAGAGACCAGGTAGAGAGATCAAAGTGCAATCCAAGGTTGAGGCCAAGAAGTGACCCAAGGTAAGAGGCCAGTTAGAGACCAAGGTAGAGACCAAGGTAGAGACCAAGGTAGAGACTAAGGTAGACCAGTTATCTTCACCCACAGATGTACATTGTCTTCACTCTATATCTATCTTCTCCGTGTGGTCGTAAACATCTTCACTGGGGCGTCTTAAGGCAAGATCGTTAAGAAGCACCCAAGATACTGCACTCCCTCCTCCCCCCCCCGGCCTCTCCCCAGTAGTGCCTCTGCCCCCAGTCGTGCCTCTCCCACCAGTGGTGTGCCTCTCCCCCAGTGGTGCCTCTCCCCCCAGTGGTGCCTCTCCCACCAGTGGTGTGCCTCTCCCCAGTGGTGCCTCTCCCCAGTGGTGCCTCTCCCCAGTGGTGTCTCTCTCCCCAGTGGTGTGCCTCTCCCCAGTGGTGCCTCTCCCCAGTGGTGTGCCTCTCCCCAGTGGTGTGCCTCTACCCGTGGTGTGCCTCTCCCCAGTGGTGTGCCTCTACCCCAGTGTGCCTCTCCCCAGTGGTGTGCCTCTACCCCCAGTGGTGTGCCTCTCCCCCAGTGGTGTGCCTCTCCCCCCAGTGGTGTGCCTCTCCCCCAGTGGTGTGCCTCTCCCCAGTGGTGTGCCTCTACCCCCAGTGGTGTGCCTCTACCCCAGTGGTGTGCCTCCCCAGTGGTGTGCCTCCCCAGTGGTGTGCCTCTCCCCCAGTGGTGTGCCTCTACCCCCAGTGGTGTGCCTCTCCCCAGTGGTGCCTCTACCCCAGTGGTGTGCCTCTACCCCCAGTGGTGTGCTCTACCCCAGTGGTGTGCCTCTCCCCCAGTGGTGTGCCTCTCCCCCAGTGGTGTGCCTCTCCCCCCAGTGGTGCCTCTCCCCCAGTGGTGCCTCTCCCCAGTGGTGCCTCTCTCCCAGTGGTGTGCCTCTCCCAGTGGTGCCTCTCCCCCAGTGGTGTGCCTCTACCCCAGTGGTGTGCCTCTCCCCCAGTGGTGCCTCTACCCCAGTGGTGTGCCTCTACCCCCAGTGGTGTGCCTCTCCCCAGTGGTGTGCCTCTCCCCAGTGTGTGCCTCTCCCCAGTGGTGTGCCTCCCCCCAGTGGTGTCTCTCAGTGGTGCCTCTCCCCCAGTGGTGCTCTCCCCAGTGGTGTGCCTCCCACCAGTGGTGTGCCTCTCCCCCAGTGGTGTGCCTCTACCCCAGTGGTGTGCCTCTACCCCAGTGGTGTGCCTCTCCCCCAGTGGTGTGCCTCTCCCCCAGTGGTGTGCCTCTACCCCAGTGGTGTGCCTCTCCCCAGTGGTGTGCCTCCCCCAGTGGTGTGCCTCTCCCCCAGAGTGGTGCCTCTACCCCCAGTGGTGTGCCTCTCCCCCCAGTGGTGTGCCTCCCCAGTGGTGTCCTCTCCCCAGTGGTGTGCCTCTCCCCAGTGGTGTGCCTCTCCCCCAGTGGTGTGCCTCTACCCCAGTGGTGTGCCTCACCCCAGTGGTGTGCCTCTCCCCAGTGGTGTGCCTCTCCCCAGTGGTGTGCCTCTACCCCAGTGTGCCTCTCCCAGTGGTGTGCCTCTCCCCAGTGGTGTGCCTCTCCCCAGTGGTGTGCCTCTCCCCCAGTGGTGTGCCTCTACCCCCAGTGGTGTGCCTCTACCCCAGTGGTGTGCCTCTACCCCCAGTGGTGTGCCTCTCCCCAGTGGTGTGCCTCTACCCCCCAGTGGTGTGCCTCTCCCAGTGGTGTGCCTCTACCCCAGTGGTGTGCCTCCCCAGTGGTGTGCCTCTCCCCAGTGGTGTGCCTCTCCCCAGTGGTGTGCCTCTCCCCAGTGGTGTGCCTCTACCCCAGTGGTGTGCCTCTACCCCCAGTGGTGTGCTCTACCCCAGTAGTGTGCCTCTCCCCCAGTAGTGTGCCTCTCCCCCAGTGGTGTGCCTCCCCAGTGGTGTGCCTCTCCCCCCCCAGTGGTGTGCCTCTCCCCCAGTGGTGTGCCTCTCCCCCCAGTGGTGTGCCTCTCCCCCCAGTGGTGTGCCTCTCCCCAGTAGTGTGCCTCTCCCCCCCAGTGGTGTGCCTCTCCCCCCCAGTGTGCCTCTCCCCAGTGTGTGCCTCTCCCCCCCAGTGGTGTGCCTCTCCCCCCAGTGTGTGCCTCTACCCCCAGTGGTGTGCCTCTCCCCCCAGTGGTGTGCCTCTACCCCAGTGGTGTGCCTCTACCCCCAGTGGTGCCTCTGATGGTGTGCCTCTCCCCCAGTGGTGTGCCTCTACCCCAGTGGTGTGCCTCTACCCAGTGGTGTGCCTCTACCCCCAGTGGTGTGCCTCTACCCCAGTGGTGTGCCTCCCCCCAGTGGTGTGCCTCTCCCCAGTGTGTGCCTCTACCCCCAGTGGTGTGCCTCTACCCCAGTGGTGTGCCTCTACCCCCAGTGGTGTGCCTCTCCAGTAGTGTGCCTCTCCCCCCAGTGGTGTGCCTCTACCCCCAGTGTGTGCCTCTACCCCAGTGGTGTGCCTCTACCCCCAGTGGTGTGCTCTACCCCCAGTGGTGTGCCTCTACCCCCAGTGGTGTGCCTCTCCCCCCAGTGGTGTGCCTCTCCCCCAGTGGTGTGCCTCTACCCCCAGTGGTGCCTCTACCCCCAGTGGTGTGCCTCCACCCCCAGTGGTGTGCCTCTACCCCCAGTGGTGTGCCTCTACCCCAGTGGTGTGCCTCCCCCCAGTGGTGTGCCTCTCCCCAGTGGTGTGCCTCTCCCCCCAGTGGTGTGCCTCTACCCCCAGTGGTGTGCCTCTACCCCAGTGGTGTGCCTCTCCCCAGTGGTGTGCCTCTACCCCCAGTGGTGTGCCTCTCCCCAGTGGTGTGCCTCTACCCCCAGTGGTGTGCCTCTCCCCAGTGGTGTCTCTACCCCCAGTGGTGTGCCTCTACCCCAGTGGTTGCCTCTACCCCAGTGGTGCCTCTACCCCCCAGTGTGTGCCTCTACCCCCAGTGGTGTGCCTCTCCCCCAGTGGTGTGCCTTGCCTCCCCACCCCCCAGTGGTGTGCCTCTACCCCCAGTGGTGTGCCTCTACCCCAGTGGTGTGCCTCTACCCCCCAGTGGTGTGCCTCTCCCCCAGTGGTGTGCTCTACCCCCAGTGGTGTGCCTCTCCCCCCAGTGGTGTGCCTCTACCCCCCAGTGGTGTGCCTCTCCCCCCAGTGGTGTTTTCCCCCAGTGGTGTGCCTCTCCCCCAGTGGTGCCTCTACCCCCAGTGGTGTGCCTCTACCCCAGTGGTGTGCCTCTCCCCCCAGTGGTGCCCCTCGTGGTGTGCCTCTCCCCCAGTGGTGTGCCTCTACCCCCAGTGGTGCCTCCCCCCAGTGGTGTGCCTCTCCCCAGTGGTGTGCCTCTCCCCCCAGTGTGCCTCTCCCCCAGTGGTGTGCCTCTCCCCCCAGTAGTGTGCCTCTACCCCCAGTGGTGTGCCTCTACCCCAGTGGTGTGCCTACCCCCAGTAGTGTGCCTCTCCCCCCAGTGGTGTGCCTCTACCCCCAGTGGTGTGCCTCTCCCCCAGTGGTGTGCCTCTCCCCCAGTGGTGTGCCTCTACCCCCAGTGGTGTGCCTCTCCCCCCCAGTGGTGTGCCTCTCCCCCAGTGGTGTGCCTCTCCCCCAGTGGTGTGCCTCCTCCCCAGTGGTGTGCCTCTACCCCCAGTGGTGCCTCTCCCCCCAGTGGTGCCTCTCCAGTGGTGCCTCTACCCCCAGTGTTGCCTCCACCCCAGTGTGTGCCTCCCCCCCGTGGTATGCCTCTCCCCCAGTGTGTGCCTCCCAGTAGTGTGCCTCTCCCCCCCCATGTGTGCCTCTCCCCCATGTGCCTCTCCCCCCAGTGGTGCCTCTCCCCAGTGTGTGCCTCTGCCCCCCCAGTGTGTGCCTCTACAGTGTGCCTCTCCCCAGTGGTGCCTCTCCCCCAGTGTGTGCCTCTACCCCAGTGCCTCTCCCCAGTGGTGTGCCTCTCCCCCAGTGGTGTGCCTCTCACCCCCAGTGGTGTGCCTCTCCCCCAGTGGTGCCTCCCCAGTGGTGTGCTCCCCCCAGTGGTGCCTCTCCCCCAGTGGTGTGCCTCTACCCCAGTGGGCCTCTCCCCCCAGTGGTGTGCCTCTACCCCCAGTGTGCCTCTCCCCAGTAGTGTGCCTCTACCCCAGTGTGTCCTCCCCCAGTGTGTTTCCCCCGTGGTGCCTCTCCCCCCAGTGGTGTGCCTCTCCCCAGTGTGTGCCTCCCCAGTGGCCTCTACCCCAGTGGTGTGCCTCTCCCCCCCAGTGGTGCCTCTACCCCCAGTGGCCTCTCCCCAGTGTGCCTCTACCCCAGTGGTGCCTCTCCCCCAGTGTGCCCTCTCCCAGTGCCTCTCCCCCCCCAGTGGTGCCTCTACCCCAGTGGTGCCTCTCCCCCAGTGGCCTCTCCCCCAGTGGTGCCTCTGCCCCCAGGGTGTGCTCTCCCCCAGTGGTGTGCCTCTACCCCCAGTGGTGTGCCTCTACCCCCAGTGGTTGCCTCTCCCCAGTGTGTGCCTCTACCCCCAGTGGTGTGCCTCTACCCCCAGTGGTGCCTCCCCCAGTGTGCCTCTACCCAGTGCTGTGTGCCTCTACCCCAGTGTGTGTGCCTCCCCCAGTGGCCTCTACCCCAGTGTGTGCCTCCCCACCCCAGTGGTGTGCCTCTACCCCCATGTGCCTCTCCCCCAGTGGTGTGCCTCTCCGCCCCCAGTGGTGTGCCTCTACCCCCAGTGGTGTGCCTCACCCCAGTGGTGCCTCTCCCCCCAGTGGTGTGCCTCTCCCCCAGTGGTGCCTCTCCCCAGTGGTGTGCCTCTCCCCCCAGTGGTGCCTCCCCCAGTGGTGTGCCTCTCCCCAGTGGTGCCTCTACCCCAGTGGTGTGCCTCTACCCCCAGTAGTGTGCCTCTCCCCCAGTAGGCCTCCCCCCAGTGGTGTGCCTCTCC